CAAATTTGTGAGAGACTATTGTGAAGCCTTTTATAGTGTAAGTTACCTTAATATTGTAAATGCTGTGAACCTGTGATGCTTGCAGTAAATTGCTATTTGTTTTAGTGGTCTTCATGTGTCAAATTCTAGCCATTCAAACAATGGTGTGAGTTTAGGGTGGGACTACCTGTTTGTAACATTTAGTACAGTTTGATGGCACAGAAATTACACACTTCACCTTTAAAATGCATTCATTAAAATTCATGTGTTTACTGTGTCCTAAATTGTTAGATCAACCGAAAGCAAAAAAACAGGTTCACAGAGGCTCTAAATGGATTTCAAGGTGCTCCCTTTTACTATTTTTTGTCCTCTTTTGACCTACATGTCATCTCTGTGATTTTCACTGCAATCACTTTAAATGATGGCTGTGCTAAGAGCCTTGAGGTGAACTAAAAACCATGCATGAAACTGTGCATCCATGTGTCATCTGTCAGTTTTACCTATCTTTCTCACACACACACACACACTTGTGCGCACAGCTCTTTCTGAGAGTCCTGAGGGTACATCTCTCCGAGTACCAGACACAGACAGCATAGAGTGCCTTTGAAGTCATCTAAAAAGTGCACAGACAACACCAGTGCCTTTACCTAAATGTTCTTTGACATGATGTCCTCAACTTAGCTTAAATTGAAATAAATCTAAAACAACACTAGAGCCCACTGACTTTTTACTGCATGAACAAGAAAACCATGAGACATTTTTTCTGAATATTTCCGTTGGTGTTCCACTGGAACATATACAGACTTGGAATGATGTTATGTAAATGATGACACATTTTCATTTTGAATTAAACTATCCTTGTAAGATTAACATGAACATTTGGCAGATGCTTTTATCCCAAACAATTTAATGCCTATTCACACAAAAAAAAAGTTAACTATAGCAATAACTACACTATTGTCACAATGCACTTAGAGGAACGAGGAGACGCTGGAGAATACTTTAACAAGACTTTAATGCCAGGAACCAAGGGAGACGAACTCAGGAAGACGTTTAACAGCGGACAGAGAACTAGGGACTGGGAACACTTTAAATACACACAGGAGGAGGGGATGACGAGACACACCTGGGAGCAATGAAACATCAAGGGAAACACCTGGGACAAATGAACTTAACTAATCAGGACAGGAACAGGAAACTAACCAAATAAGGGCATGGGAAGGCACATGGGAGCAAGACACACACAAAACATGGAACAGAGTCTGACAACTATATGGACGATATAACATTCTGTTTATTATAAATGTGCGCTACAGAATCATTCTTAAAAAAAAAGGAATTGATTGGAACTCGTTGTCACTAGCTGTGTCCCAATTCAGAGGCTGCATCCTTTGAAGGACATGGACTTTAAAAGTCACGCTTTCGAAGGCCACGAAGTTCAGACCAAACATTGTTAACTGGACTTTTATTAAAAATTATATTCAATGCTGAAAACAAAACAGGGTTCACAACCTGTCTAAATATGTTCACCTTGGTCTATTTTTGTACATAATAAAAGGTATAAACTATCTATAAAATCGTATCGTAGTACGATAACGGTAAACATATAAACCACTTTAAAGTGCTTTTTTTTTTTTTGTAATGTTCGATTTTCGATTAAGTTGAAACCTAATACTTACATTTAAAAGTATAATTCAGCATTTTCTCTCAAAACAAATCCTATCGTCACTGATGCACAATGAATCTAGGGATAGTTGTTTTTTTTTCTAAACAGTGACAGTCATCAGAACTCAAACTCCCAATTATGCATTACCGAGGGACTCATTACACTCATTTTCAAGCCACTGAAAGGACCTTTCCAAATCCAGTGTGACTACTGAGGTCACTGAAGACTAATCAAGCCCTGAGAACTCTTGTGAGAACCTTTCATCTGTTTGATTAATCATTCATGTTAAGTGTTTAGTGAGCATCTCTTCCTTTGTGCTGTGGATTATGCCTTCTGTCCCCAGGGCCCATAAAATACCCCTCATAATACCATCACACACACTAACACTCACACATATCACTTACCCCTCTTGAGTGCAGACAGCTTCCTCATGAATACTGCTCTCAGATTCAACCTTACTTTCAATAATCAATAATACTCTTAGTTTAGTCGTAGTAGTGTCACATGCTTAGCTGGGATAGCACTGAAATTATCAAGGTTTACAGAATGCACAAAAGCTTGTGTGATCATTTTGTGAGGCTATTTACTGATGCAGGATGAGTGAACCCATATGTGTTGACTGATTGGAACATGAGTGGGTGCTTCCAATACATTCTCTATGGGAGATAAGGGTCAGGCTTGGGGGATTGAGGGATTGAGAGTGGTGCAGAGCAAAAAAAAATTGCTGAACTTCATGCAAATGAGAGGCAAGAGTGCCAAACAACAGTCAATCATTGTGAGGTGAAGGCAAGCCAAGTTGATGACGTCGGTCGTGAGCATTTGAAAATCTGGTGCTGATAGTGCTGGAGTTTCTGGTGGATGGAATTTGAATAAGATCTAATCAAAATCTAAACCTAAAGAGATAGTTAACCCAAAAATGAAAATTCTGTCATCATTTACTCGTTCCAAACTCATAAGACTTTCGTTCATCTTTGGAAGACAAATGACGGTATTTATAATGAAATCCGAAAGATTTCTGTCCCTTCACTTAACTACTGTACCACTTTGATGCTGATGATTTGCGTGGTTAAGTCCAAATTTTCTGAAGAGACCTGATCGCTTTATATGATGAACAGATTTAATTTAGACTTTTATTTGCATATTATTTACATTATTTACATTGATCAGCAAACATAAACAGAAGCTCAACCAAACTTTTATTTCTTTTCAGACAGTTTATGGGGCAGATTATCAAAACAATATTACCATAATGACATCATACACTATTTCTAAACTAATACATTTTGACGTTTGCATCACCAGCTCCATATATATGGCTTTTCTGACCAGGTAAACTTGCTTGGTAGCTCACACAGCACTGCACTTGTGATGCAGAGCTTGAGCACGAGTCTCTTGAAACACGAATCATGATTTAAAAAATAAAAAAAACTCGTAGAAGCAAGCTAAAATTGCATGGTTGCTTCAGCAAATACATTTCCAGGGTTCTAGACTTATTCTTCCCACTGGTCGCGCTGGTGCGACTAACTCTCTCAATTCGTTGCACCAGCACGATTTGTGTTGTTGTTGTTTTTTTGCTACAACATGGGATTAATCAATACACGCTAATGAATCGTTTTTCTGTTATAATAGTTTATAGTTATATGCTAACGGGAGTTCCTCTTTTGCTATGTTATAAGTCGGGCTTCGGACGCTTTCACTCTCAAATTCGTGACCTTGATGTCACATTTTACAAGAAAAGATCATTTTCTGTTGTGCTTACATCTACTATACACCATAAACTTTTTAAGACTAAAACAAATGCTTGAAAGATGGAATCATTATTCTTAATGAAAACCATAACAACAATAAACCAGCTAATGACAAACTAGCTTATATAACGTTTATTAACAAAACAAATAAGACAAGGCATACAGTAGCATACACCATATGCAGTTTTATATCGCACATTCTTAAAAAATTGTCGCATTTGTGTAGGGCTGGACTATATGGCCAACATTTATATCACAATATATTTCTTAATTTCAGTCGATACGATATAATTCCGATATCGATATGAACACTATTTAAAAAAGCCTCGTAAAAACTGCATACAAAACCATATGATATTTTAGAGAAAAAAAACAGCACAAATAAATTAATGTTCACCTTTTATTTGTATTTAGCCTTCATACAAACAAGAAATGTGAAATCACTGTCAAATAATCGTCTCAGACTCACCTAATTAATATTAATATCTTTAACTTCAAACTATAGGCTAACATACACTACCAGTCAATAGGCCTGTCGCAATAATCAATATATCGACTTATCGCGCAATATATGTACATGAACTCAATAATTTTTGGTGACGCAATATATTGCCCATTATATTTACTTAAAAATTAATGTCACCATGTTTTGTACATTCCACTTGTGCCTTTGTCTTTTGCAGCTTCTTGTACATAACGTGGTGTAGTCATGAGGTGCTAGTTCAAATAAAAAAAAAGCTTCTATAAACAAAGTTTCATCTGCAGATATGATCTTGTTTAGGGATCTGTGCCTTTGTGCATACGGACATCTGACTGCGCTGTTACATTATGATTATATATTCAGTGGCATAAAATGGTCTTTAAAATGACAATAATATCGCTTATTGCAATTATTTCTGGGGCAATATATCGCACAACAAAAAGTTGTTATCATGACAGGCCTACCAGTCAAAAGATGTTTAATGTTTTTAAAGAATTCTATTCTGCTCACCAAGCCTGCATTTATTTGATCCAAAATACAGCAAAAACAGTAACATTTTGAAATATTTTTACTATTTAAAATAACTG